TTTATCCTACGAGCATGGTACATTGGTACCTGATTCGTCTGACAGGATAAGAACACTGACTTCTACATCGGCTGGCCCCAAAATAATTGCATGGGTCACATTCAAGAAGCCCCTGCGATTTTGAATGGGAGTAGGATGTGTGCCGCATCCAAGAGAGGTGCAATCAACGGTGAAAACTCCAACTCATCCTTTAACCCCGTTTCCTACCTTTCAAAACAGCTCATGAAAGGCGAAAGATAACCTTTTTGGTTGGTTGCTTTAGCGATATTGCAGTCACCAATGGTTGAGCTCATTGAGAGTTAATGATACAAGGAGTTTTTAACCACGTTCCTATTTGTAAGAATTTCATTGGTACCTATCCTACTTTATAGCTCTCTTACGATCCACCATGAAATTCGGAACACAAATGACAGAGTAGTTTCTGCGCGGGAACGGGTACGGGCGGACTGAATCAGTGAATCAAGACCAGTCGTCGAAATGGATGGGTTACAGGGGTCCTGTCAACCGGACGTTGCAACACTGCGAGGATCCAGAGGTGTTTCCTCCTCACAGCTTCCGCTTGAGCGTTTAGAAGAGGAAAATACGGAAGAGAGAAGGATGGAAGGAAAAGAAGGTGGAGAAAAGAGGAGTGAGGCTTTGCGGCTGTACATATCCTGAGGTCAAATGGGGCGACTACTTCACAGAACAGCAAATGCTGTTGTGCCCATCAAATTGCTCACAAATCCACAAGAGATGAAAAGCGCTCAAAGCCTGTTTTAGCGGAGTTCTTTGGATGATTCTGAATTAGGTAATGAACGAGGAAGAGGGAAATCGTATAGTGAAATAAAAACAATAGCCAGTTTTCCAATAAAATTTCAAGGGAAAATATCGATTCGAGTTTTATTTACAAATATAAAAATTTATGATACAATCCATGACAAAAAGTCGAAGCTTTTTGATGCGGTAATAATTAACGAATCATCTACAATAATGATTAAACACCTGGTTCTAAGCACAACGTGTGGATACTGCGTCCCAACTCGAAAGAAAATGGAGGTAACTACGGTAGTCTAGCGTCAATATGGTACAACGCGACAATTGAATGGCATACAATAATACCACGTTACGGTTATTTAAAAATTATTCTGATAATGCACAAGCATGATCATTGCGAAAGAATTAAACAAAATTATCTCTCCGTTCGAGTCTCATCCGAGGCCTCCTTGTGGCACTTTCGTAAGGATTTTTTATGAGACCGCTCCTTCGCTAACACCCCACCCGCTGTACATGTTACCTCCCCTATGAAGATCCGGGAGCTACTGTATTTGGGTGGAGCCCTTCGGCGTGACAAGCAATATCTCAGACTCCGAAGACTCCTTCACCCTGGAGATCTCTTCCGGGAGCAGAGAAATCGGTTTCACCGCCCGCAGCAAGTCTCCCCCAGTTAACTTCTCGCTTCCCTATATTTTGGCGGGTACATAGTTAACTGGGTTGCTGTTTTCTTTGAAAAATTAGAAACCTCCAATTCTGGAAAGTGCAGAGAAGCTCACAAAGGAACCAAATACATTCTACAATGACACCACTTATGACGCATCAAGAAGCGGTAACTTGAAAAGCATTCGGGTGAATTTACTCGAGTTTTCCTTTTCCGGGTTATTCAGACGAACTTGAGCTTGGAGACATTCAGTGAGTTTAAGGGAAACGTTGTCGTTTCCGTGGACTCCATCAGGTTGGGCGATATGAACGGCGCTGAGCAACGCGAGCTCCTCCAGTCCTATGTGACCAAGACCGCTACGTAGCCTTTCCACCAACGCTGAGCTTGCTCCAGGCGTGGTCGGAGAGTCTTCACCGGAAAATGCGCTTCGAAGGAGCTGGAAAAAATATAATCGATTTCATTCGAATGGTGATTGCAGACGGATTGAAAAGCGAAAGGAAAAGAGTTAAAATGTGAGGAATCATGGGGGGTGACAAGTATGGAGTAAGCTATGCAGCAGTTTGACTGCTAGAATCAGTGACAGTTCTGATAATTGTCTTGGAAACTTTTGAGATACTGTACTTGTGCTTCATAGTAGTACTCTAGACAACTAGTTTTTTAGAGAGTTTAGCAATTTTCAGGCGGACTTCTGAAAAACTTGTCCTGTGCCGTAGTTGCGTTACGGTAAGCGCCTATAATTATCATATATGTCCGGTGCGCATTGGGGCCCTTAGCAGCCCTAGATTGCCACGATCTATCTCTCCGTTCGTGAATCGACAAGATCTAAAGATGTACGGCAAACTGCCGGAATTTTCAGTTCTGTGACGGGGAGGGAGTGTATTTTGCATTTTTTTTGCTAGTTCCCATCAACGTGTCCACCCATCTACAGAGCCTTTTCTTGAGTTCACAGGTTTCACCAAAGGAGACTTATAAAACGGAACTAGTGAAGCAGCGAGAGTGCAAAATGCCCCTTCCGTCACCGAACTGCGCCCTTTGATGGTATAGAACGAAATGGCCGCTTACCATGCATCCCTTGGCGCTTTGCCGAATCTTCGCGGACAGCACATCCTCAGAATACTCCTTGAATAACGAGACTTTCGAGACGAAATGTCCAATCCTTTGCAGCATATCCTAAATAAGCGAATTTTAATCAAAAAGACACTGCGGTTATATATTTTTTGTTAATTTATTTGTTTTCTGTTTACGTGCGGCAGTACAGTCTTGTTCGCTGCGGGAGATGGGGCGTGTCAGGAAGTATGGGTTTGGCGCGGCGCTACCCTGTTTCTTGTTTATTTTCTCGGCTAGCGACAAAACACTATCATATCGCTCGTATCAGTCGTTTTCCCCAAATGTTGTCGCTTACAACTTGAACAACAGATGGAGAACAGGCTGGCGGCGCGCCAAACCCAGCCGCACTGACACGCCCCATCACCCTCATCGGGCAAGGCTATACATAGTGAACTACAGTAACCCCTTTCAAATCAGTTTTTCAAACCGTCCATCGGATTTTAAGAAATCTTTTGGATAAAATGCATGCAATGGAATAATAACTGAATTGCTCGAATTACAAAGAGCCAGTGAAGAAAGAAATTCGTGACGATAACGGAAATGACGTCACTTTGTCAAAAACCGCACAAAGTAGTTACCTCCGGATTCTGAACGGTAAGCCCCTCGCCGAATGCTTCGCGGTAAGCCTGCGTGACTTCCTCGACGACTTTCATCATCACCCTCGTCTCGTCCAGCTCCACCTCCTTATCGTCGTCGCGGGTCTTTCGTTTTCGAGTACGGTCTTGCCTCACAGATTCCTTGAATTGAATTTTTTGAAATTTGTTGTCTTTCCCGTCATCGCGATGGAAAATAACCTTTGACATGCCCTTGTCGAGGCATTTCTGGAAGCGGCAAGCTTGACAACGATTTCGACTGACTCGATCTACAGGACACGTCTTCTCCTTATGGCAAGTGTATTCCATATTCTTTTGTACAGTACGGCGAAAGAAACCCTGAAAAGCACTACGATTTAGCAATTATGCCAAGAGTTGGCCGTATAAGTTGCGTCCGAATAAATATTATCCAACGTCTTTCAAGCTAGAATGCGCCATAGCTTATTGGAACATGTTTTCATGGACTTTGGATAACGATCGAGTGCATGGCGCATCTCACAGTGATTGATCAGCGCTGACCACTTAATCCTCCGGAAAACGGAAAAACACCTACCTTACATCCTTCACAGCTCATTACTCCGTAGTGATAACCGCTGGCGTTATCGTGACATACCACACAGACATCTCGTTGACTCGTAGTGTCACCAACAGGCATGCCCCATTGTGAAGAATCTGGCTGTCTATATTACCACTCTTACAGTGTTACGATTTTTTTTTTGATTATTTAAAATGCTTCATCATCAAAATATGTTCGGAGTGAAATGTGAGTGTAAAAGGCTGGCCTTGGCAGCTCAGAGCCAGCCTGGGCCAAGAAGCAGCGAAAATGTTAGAAAGTTCAGAGCCCAGCTTTTCAATAAAATCCCGTTTCACGTTTTTTTTCATTCTTATTCTCATGCTTCTGAGGAACGCCAAAAAAGATTACTACAATTGAGAGGTGGCAAAAAACGAAGATTTCGCCGGATCAGCCGTAAGGTGGCGCGGATCGCGAGTTCAAACCTGTCTAGCTGCACGGACTTTATGCCGATGACTTAGGATTCCTTGGAATAAAGTAGATGACAGCAAAACAAAAGAATTCTGAAAAACTGGGCTAAGAATGGAAACCATCCATTTTCATTTTTGTTGCAGTTTCTTTAGTCTGAGAAGCGAAAACTGCTGAAAAGTTTGACACTTTTGTCTGACAAGCGAAACTGCTAAAAAGTTTGGCACTTGTTTCCCTTACTTTGGAAGGGGAGGGTTTACCTACCATACCATGGTTAGGGAGGAGGGAGGGAGTTAGGGCAGGGTAGGGGTGGGGGGCGTAACTCTCAAACGCTAAATTTGATCTCTCGTAGCCCTGTATTTTGCTGTTTTTTCCAGATCAGGAACTCCCAGATCAGGGAGAGACACATTCTTTCGAAAGATGCAAGCGGTAAGTAGCCCCGTGGGGGCACATATGGTACGGAGACAGAAGCTGGATTGAATATTCCAATGCCAGGCTACTCTCTTATCACAGGAATAGTCTACTAACAGGTCCCGTCTGTGAGGGTAGAATATTTGACAGAATAGCGGTTTGGATCCATAAATTCAGTATGCAGGCTTACATGCTCCTCCATACGAAGTATCTGGGCTACATGCTCCTCCAAATGCTACTACTATTCTGAATAAAACTTGAAGTGATCTCTCCTTAGAACGTTCTACATCAAAGATTCACCTTTTGCCATTCTTTAGCTCGTCACTGGATGAACCTTTTAGGTTACTTTACTACCGTTTCAGATTTACTTCCTACTCGTCTACTTATTCTGTACTAACGATAAGTACTTTTATCCATTCGATTCATTTCAGTATTCTCCAAACACCCCTTCAAATTCCTCCTCTATTTGGGAACATTTCTCACTTTTCAGTCTTCTATCATATTTTTTTATTCCAAATACTCGTAAAACTCCATTTACCCTGAAGTGATCCGGATAATTGGCGGACTGCGGTGGCGGTCGTTGCGGGGTCAGAGACCCTTGAGCTCCTGGCGGGAAACCAAAGTTCGTGAGTTGTCCGAGTGGGCCAGGTGCTGTAATTAACCTAATCGATCAAGTAAGAATCTTAGCCACTGTCAAAACTAGGGCACATCCGTTGGTAATTGCTGGGTTATGCAATTATTACGGAAGAAAAGAACTGCTGAAATACCTGATGTGTGTGGAAACTGGAAGTTCCCCATTTGCATAGGATGGTGATAATTCGGTGGCGGCATTCCTTGAGGATTGAAATGAGCCGATGCTTTGATCGTTGTTGGTGTCTGCAGCTGAGGTGGTGGGGCTTGACCCTGAGGCGAAGGCCTTGACGGACCAACTGCTGGTGATGAGAAAGGTTGGGACTCCTCCTGAGTTGGAGACAAAACGGGTTTCGCCTTGGCCATTATCTCCGGTTTCAGTAGTGCCGACACAGAGAAAGAATTCGACCTGAAATATAAGGATGTGATGGGGAATGCATTTACCATTTAATTTATTAATTGAATTCAGGGGGTTTATATTCTCCAAAAATAGACAAGCAAAACAAAAGTGTTGTTTCTAAATATGGTAAAAAAATTCTTGAAAGCTTTTCAAAGGTAGAAGCCATTATTAAGAATCAGAACAAACCTTGAGGAATCGTTCGACGAAGTGCCAGAGAGCGGTGGAGATCCAGCATAACTCAAAGACTCATTGCCAGAATCCCTAAAAATGTATTATGAGTTCAAACTTCAATGAATAGTATCGTAACCTGGCGACTTACCGATCTTCAGCAGCGTGTTGAATAGAAGCCATTCGCTTAGCAAAAGCAGCGGTGGCCACCTCAAGGGGTGTAGGTTGACCCTGTCCTGAAGTGCACTGCTGCTGGTTCAAAAAGTGAAAAGCGACTTCAGGTGGAGGAAATACGCCGTTGAAATACGGCTGAAACATCTGTGCTAGTAGTGCAGGTGGATACATTGCCCATTCCGGGAAGGGTCATGGAACGAGACGGGTTTTGACCAGTAGGGTTGGGTGGGGTAGCCGGTACCCGTTGAATATTCGGCTTCGTCTCGGCATATGGAGACGATTGCATGGTTGGGACGACGGTATGTGATGATAGTGGAATGCGACGACGATGACGACCCTTACGTGCTCCGCTAGGATCTTACGCAATCATACGGGGACGGGGCGTGGCTAGTAAGCAGCTGATGTGTTGGGTGTTAGCACCAGGGGAATTGACCTTGGCCACAAAGAACAAAGTTGACCTCAACGCCTTCTGCGGACTGGAAATGCCTGCAAATTAGTGAAATCACCCCAGAGGGGATGCAGACGGCTGAGAAGGCATGAGCTGTGTGAAACTCTTATAGACATGAATCCCTTCCGGGAATGGAATAATTTCATATTTATGTCAAGGAATAGAAGCTTTTCGAGCACTTTTCTCTCACACATGGGCTTAATCCAAAAAGTACCACAGATTCTGGTCTTGATCAACTCAAATCAAAGAGCGCCGGTGCATCCTCCTGTTCTCCAGAGTTGTTGAGGGGTGATGAAAGGTTTGTTCATCCACTTTCTCAACCCAAAGCTGCCTTGATAGCTACCTTGTCTTTTGAATGACAATCCCTTAATTACAGGAAGATTTTTGGAGCAGTGTTTTGTAAAAAGGCTTACGATTAAACGGACCTCATATCAGATCTGTCTGTAAATGGCTTATATTGTCGGAATGTAAGCTTAGCCAGCTTTGCTTTCAATACCCTCAAAATTTTTCATTTGTTCGAATTTTTAACATAGTCAATAAATTTTCAGTGATTTCTCTCTAGTAGGAGGAGAAAGAACCGCTACGGTTCGCAATAATCAGAACGAATTACAGGCTGTTGGCTAGATTTCAATGAGAAGTTGTCCGGGTATGTCGGTTGAACCAGAATACCCCAAACCAAAATGATTACCAGCGCTACTATCACTTACCGTTACCATTGAGCAATACAGAAGTTCGTCCTTAATAAACCTTTTTGCCGGAGTTGATAAGTGGATAGATTTCATTGCGACATTCATAGCAGTGGCATGACAACCG